TGAGGGGAGACAAGAACCGCCTCTCTCCCCCCAGGCTTCTCGGCGGCTGCCTCTCCTCATCAGGGCAGTCTATCTTTTAACTGCATCCCTTACTTTGGCTCTGCGTATTCAGCCTCTTCCTCGTGAGGCCTGCGGCGGCAGAACCCCCTCTTCCCTCCTCCTCCCCCGTCTGCCCAGTGGTGCTGTCTGATTGGTCGCTGCTGTTTGATTGGCAGCTGGGTCGTCCTAATAATGGGGGAAGGCTAAGAAAGAAGGCGTGGAAGAAGCGCAGGGGCTTAGTCCGTCTATCCTTCCACAGCGTCTCCACTGAAAATGAACGTGGAGTCATCAGCAATCATGTCTGGCTCGAAAGCAAATACCTTGGAATTACTTTAGCTGAAATCTTACAGGTGTACATTTCAGGACTGTTTTCAGGCCAGAGGCCACAATGTTTGGTAAAAGGAAATGAAAGCCAACATTTAGCCAGCTTCCATGGCTTTGGCATTGTAATGTGTGAAATAAGTGAGCTCCCTTCCTCAGGAGGAGCTTTTGATTCCTGAGCCTTTAAATCCTAAGGTAATTTCTGTTTTTCAACCATCACTGAGTCACAGAGAAACTGACAGAACCCCCCAACTATGGCTCACATCCAGCGCCAAAGGGAGGAAGGGGCTGCCTGGCTCAAATCTCCTGAGGGGAACTTTCATTTCTGAGGAAGCAGGTAAATATGAGCCTCCTTAGGAAAATGAACCTCATATATTACTGAGGAGAGAGAGAAGAAGCTCCTGGCCCTCAGAGTTGGGGCCCTTGTTCTCTCTGAGGTAAAAGGGCAGCATAACATATGCAACGAAGGACAAAGTAAGATCTCCATCTCCCTCCACAATGGCCACCTTTGCACCCAGGACTCTCTGGGCTTTACGAAGGAGGAGGAAATCTTCCCTGAATCTCGTCTCTGCTAGAGGACAGAAGGAAGTTCTGTCCAACAAGGCATTACAGAGCTGGGCCAAGATCAAGCTAAGAGCATGGAGTTTTGGGGTGGACCAAGCCCATAGGTTTCACAAAGCACCTTCATGGAGGATTGGTCCTCCACAGCAGTGCTCGCTCTGAGCACCCTCCGCCTTGGGTGGGTGCAGATGTCTCCTTTGTTCTCTGCTCCAAAGTAATGGCACTAAAGTGGCTCTTGCCATTGGGGCTCCTGCCTTTTTATATCCCCTAAATGGTGGGCATTAGAGGTGCAATCCTGAGGAAAAACAATGGTAGATGAAGGACGAGACCCTTCCCCAAAAGAAGCATCATGCAGAAGATGTTGCTTCAGACATGGAGCTTGTAAGTAGAGTATTCATTCATTCATTCGATTTATATTCCATCTTTCTCATATGCTGATTCTACAAGTAAAATGAAGAGCTCTTAGTTGGGAATGGGAGAACTAAATTCCCTTGTTCAATATCAGTCACATCTGCTTCTGGCCTTCTTATTCTCTGGAAGAATGAGAAGATGATGGTCCATCATTTCTTCAATGCTGCGCAGAATAACTGGTACTTCAGACTATGTATCTTGATATTTTCTCCTCTCCTAGAAGTACCAGGAGTGGAAAACACCCCAATGGATCATCATACCTCTAATGTGCCCAGACACATGGAAGCTATTCTCCCCTTGATTTCTGTCCATAATCTCATGGGCACTAAAGAAAGGAACTATCCTGAAGGAGGTTTTACAGAAGACACTGTCAAAATGGATTTTGAAAGAGGTGGACTACACAGCCAAGAATGGATGGAACTCAGTCCCCCATTTGTACCTCATGAATTGAGCATTGAAGGAGGAGGAGCCCCAAGACATATAGAGTCCCCAACTCTGAGAGATCCATCAGAAGCTTTTGACCTGCCTGCCAGACTGAGTGAGGGGATTGCTTTCTCCATGTACAAAAACACTGGGAGGCTCTCCAGGAAGTTGACAAATAATAGTATTAATATACCAGTGAGTTGAAGCCCTGATCCTGCTTTTCTTTGCATTCCAGGGAACCTGCTTACACCAAGAATCTTTGGCTGGATTGGAGCTAACAATAATAAAGATTATTCTGGAAGCCCTAATATCAGAATACTATAGGTATTTTACTAGTTTTAGGGGCAATTTCTCAGCAGGTTGCAGCACTTGATCTCCTTGCCTGGGCTTGAAAGTTAAGCAAGGCTGGGCCTGGTTAGTAATTGGATGGGAGACTTTCAGGAAATCCTAGAACTACAGGCTAGATTGGGAGATAGAAAAACTTGCTACCAGAAGGCAATTTTTTAGATAACATCAATACTGTTATCTAAAAAGCACCATGGGGATTTCCACGAAGTCTCGAAGAGTAAAATTTGACTTAAAGAAGGCTTTATTTCTCTTAAAAATTGAGATTTGGAATCCGGGGTGCTGGTGGTGAAGATGAGGGATATCCCACATCCAATTTTTAATCAAGATGCCCAGAAAATTACATGTTGGTCACCTCTGAAGTATTTAGGACCATGATGCAGCTTCTCCTTTTTTAAGGGAGGTTTGATCCAATTACACACCCGACATGCATCCTGGTTTGATTCCCGCAGTCAGCAATTATTATTATGCCCTGAGCAATTTAATGTGCAGGAGGCCTCCCAAGTAGGAGCCTTACCCCATTCTACTCGCTGTTGCTTATCCTACCTGGGCTGGGGGTGCAGTTGCTCTTTCTGCTCCATCTGGAAAAAAAGACCTTTGAACAAGGACCACCGATGTTGTATTAATTCCTATGACAGAGACAAAGTGGGTGGAGACTTTTTAAAAGGAGACTTTTAAAAAATATGGCTAATAATTTTTAGGCTGGCAGTAGATATATTTTAATCATAACTGAAGCTAATCCTGTAAACCAGTTTCTGAAGCTGATATGACTCAGATAGCTCCAATCTTACCTGGTGAGATGTCCTGAATTTGATCCTCCTTGGAAATACCCCTGAAAAGCCTCCTCTGGGGGGGATCTGATAGATCCATGGTTGCCTTGGGACCTTGTACATCCACCCTATTGGAACTTTTCTGCAAGTGAAGAACAGAGAAGAAGAAAGAAGGAGAGTTAGGGGGCAGAACATAGAAAAGAGGGTTTCACTGTCTTCTGACACCAGCTATCCATCCCTATATCCATAAAAGTGGATGCTTCCTACCTTGCTAGAAAAGTATCTTAATGTACATAGTAAAATATTTTTGTCTTAGGAGTTCAAAAATATCCTTGTAGGAATGCATTTAGAGAGGTCAAGAATAATGTTTTGCTCACCTGCTTCTCTCTGTCCTCTGCCTGGCTCAGGAGGAAGCCTTCTGCCAGGGCCACTGCCTGAGAAGTGGTCTCGGCTCCACATTCCCGCACCCAGGTGACCATGTCGGGGGGAAGAATAGCTAGGAAGTGCTTCAGAACCAGCAAGTCCAGCATCTGAGCCTTGGTGTTCCTTTCTGGTTTCAGCCATTGAAGACAAAGGCGGTGCAGTTGGCTGCAAACTCCTCGGGGTCCCTTAAACACCTGGTAGAAGAACTCCCTGATGTTTTGGTGTTGGCCATCCCAAGGAAGGGTTTCTTCTTCCAAGATCTTCTGCCTGGTCCTTTGGCTCAATTCCTCCTGGTTCTCCACCTGAGCAGGATGAAGGACTTTTCCTGTTGGGTCTTCTGCCTCCATCTTCTCTCTGGGATCCCCTGCAGCTCCAAGGGACCTCCTGGATCTCCCAAACTGCTGGTGCTGGGGGAACAGAATCTGTGGGAAAAGTTGGAGTCTCCCAAAGTCCCCCTTTTGTGAGAGGTTGGAGCCCCCTCTTTCCTCTCCCCACCCAAGGAAAGGCCTCCTCAATCTGCCTCCTTCTTAGCCCCCTGCAAAGCTTGAGCAGATGGGCTCCCAGCCTCAAACCTAAGGGGGTCCCTCTTCCAGGGATGGAGACTTCTTCCAGCTCCCAGAGCCACAACATCCACTCCCCCCACCCAAGGTGAAAACTTTTGCAGCTCCAAGCTCCCCTCCCTCCAAGACCCCCAACCATGGAAGGGGGAGGACTTTCCCAGAGCAGCCCCTCCTCTCCCAGCACTGCAGCAGGAGGTTCCCCCCTGTAAGGAAAGGTGGGGGGGTGAGATGTCTTTCCGTGGTACAGTGCAGATCCCAAAGGCACATTCTGGACCAACCTCTAGGAAGATCCAGATTTGCTCTTGCAGCCACCGCTTTGCTCTGCTCTTTTGGAGGAGATGCAGCCCAGGATCTTCCTCTCCCTCTTCCGGGGCCCCATTCCAGGAAGAGCTCTTGCAGCCTTCCTGTTCATGAGGGAGGCTCCATCTATGGGTTAAAGTGAGAAAGTGTGGTGCCCTAGAGAGGCAAGACCCTTGTCCAGGAGGACCCCCCTCTTCCTGCCCTCCAGTTTCAACTTCCACTTTCCCTCTTCCATCAGCCCAGCTTTTCTGTCAGAGGAGCTAGGAGCCAAGCTGCAGCCCGCGAAAGCTTCTGCCTTTTCATAAAATGTTTTAGTCACAACAGGTGTGACCACACTCTTGATTTTTACCCCTCCTCCTTGTGACTCAACATCTGGTTCACTTATGCAGTACCCTTTACACCCCCTGGGAAGTGCCCCTTGCACAATTCCTGCGGAGGCTGCTAGTCACTGGATCCCTCTGAGAACATGGAGATAAGCGAGTACATCTTTGTTGCAGATAATAGGCGATACTGAAGAACTCTCATTTGCTGGTACTTTGATTTTGAAGGGATCAAAAACTAAATTGGCAATATTTAAATTGGCAATGTTAACGTCATAGCTTTAGACTATGCGCAGAGTTCTCTATAGCCAAGCTTCAATACTAACAGCACTTAGTGAAATTGCAAGA